CATACCTTCAGTGGCTTCCCTGTGATTAGGGACTACAAATGAAACATCTAACTATAGACTGTAAACTGAGGGTAAAGCTCTAGTGAGGATTAGATGGGGAGAATGGAGTCAGGAGGAAATGGGGAAAAAACAATTATTGTCTTGTGCAGCCATAACAAAATAGCATGAACTGAGCAGTTTAACAGTAGCATATTTGTTATTATCATTTCTTCTCCACTATTCTGGAGGCTGGAAGTACAAGATCAAGGTGTTAGCAATGTTTGTTTTTTCTAAACCCTCTCTCCTTGTTTGTGGTTGTTTTCTCTGTGATTTCATAGGACCTCTGTGTACTTCTTTTTTCCGGTTTCCTCTTTCTGTAACAGCGCCAGAGTTGGGAGATATAACTCAAAGGACTCCAGCGCATACCTTGAGGCAGGTGCTAGGCTGCAGGTTCCATTTTGGGACACTGTGCAGATTCCTAAAGTCCTTCCCCCAAGAACACAGTGAGATGTGTTTATGGCCCATCTATTTAGTTATTATTTTGAAGATTTATTTCCTAAATATGGTCTCTTTTGGAGGAACTAGTTATAAAAATTTCAACAGATGAGCTTGGGAGGAACATAATCGGCACATAATCACCTAGTTTGTTACTGGAATTTCTCAAATTTCCCACTAGTTTTAACTGCATTTGTCGTCATAATGGGTATTAAAATATGTTGCCTAAAAGTTGTCACCACTCCTACCACCAGTGTCCCCAGTTTATGCTGCTAGCTTCCTTCTCCACCTCCAGCCTGTGTCTATGACAGGCACAATTTTTAATTTGGTCGTTGTGATTTGGAACTCATTTCTTACCATTCTCTTCATTCCTTGCTTTTCTCTAACTCTTTTGGTTCTTTATGGTTCTATGGTCTTTATGGACTCTGAACAAGTGGTATTTTAGCATTTCTAGTGTTTTTTGTTCAACTTGCTGGTCCAAGTCAGTAGTTTGAAGAGTGACTAAAACATCAAGTCTGGACCAGAGAGACGACAACAGGTAGTGCTTTGTCTTACATGCAGCAGACCTGGGTTTGATCCCCGGCATTCCATATAGTTCCCTGAGTCCTGCTAGGAGTGATCTCTAAGCACAGAGTCAGGAGTAAGCCCTGAGCATAGCCTGGTGTGCACCCCCGCCCAAATAAGTCCAGCATAACATTTTCAGTCACCAACCAGGTTTGTTCTTCTGAATGCTAGCATTCCTCTATTTACTTTTCTCTTTATTATTTGGGCTGGAGTGATAGCACAGTGGGTAGGGCATTTGCCTTGCATGTGGCCAACCTGGGTTCAATTCCTTCATCCCTCTCGGAGACCCCGGAAAGTTACTGAGAGCATTCCACTTGCGTGGCAGAGTCTGGCAAGCTTCCCGTGGCATATTCGATATGCCAAAAACAGTAACAACAACTCTCACAGTGGACACATTACTGGTGCCCGCTGGAGCAAATCGATGAACGATGGGAAGACAGTGCTACGGTGCTTTATTATTTACGCTCTGACTGCCCCCAATAGCATGTTATTGCCTAAGGCAAAATACTCATGAGTTTTGCATACCTATGGAACCTGGGTCTATCATGGAATCTATTATACAAGTACTCACTTTATAAATGTGTATTGAATGAGGGTCTCAATAAAATCTTTTTAACAGTGTATTTTTAGAATTTTAATCTCAAAGATCCATATGATTAGATAAAGCAAATATTGAATAATATCAGAAATATTGGGTGGTAATGCTCAGCATAAAACAGTATTCAAGATTCATTGAAAAAGTAGAATGTCATGTAAGAATTTGAAAATACCGATTATCATGCAGTCATTATAACTACAATAATTAGCATACACCTACCTTTCTTAAAATAAATTTATAAGGAAAAATATCACTGGCATAATTCTTTCCTCTCCTACACATTCCCTATTCTATTGAATATCTATGGTATTAACATTTTACAGAATTTTTTAAATATGATTATTGAAAACAGACAAATACTGTTTATCAGTTAAAGTGAACAGCATCCCTTAAGAATTTGAGATAAATTACAAAATGGCAGGTCCCCACTTGGACCACTGAATCAGCAAATCTGGAGCTAGTTTCAGAGTAATGTCTAGCAAACAGAACTTTAACAAACCTTTCGGGTAATTCTGATGCAGTCAAATTTTGAGAACCCCTGTCCTAAATTATCTTCAAAGTAAATGTTGGTTCTCAAAAGTCTTTTTAAACAGAGCAGTTGTCAGAATATGCCCACCCTTTATTGTTCTGGGTAATTTACCTGTTTTCTTTCTTGATTTGAGGTGACACTGTGTTAATGCTTTAGAGCCCTTCAACAATTGTTCTTTAAAGACTGTCTTTAAAAGGAAGTCATGAAATTTGCATATTAATGGATGGATATGGAGAGTATTGTGTTGAGTGAAATGAGTCAGAGGGAGAAGAACAGACCTAGAATAACTGGACACATTTGTAGGAAATGAAAAATACATAGTATAAAACTAATACTCCATAACAGTAGAAACAAGGGCCTTGAGGAGTGGTCCATGGTAGGAAGCTTGCCACAAGTGGTGGTTAGTGGGGAGAGCCCAGCTGGGATAGAGATGGAACCACTATGCCAAAGATAGTTGGAAATGATCATTCTGGACAGGAACTGAGTGCTCAAAGTAGGTAAAGGGAGAAGCATGATAATCTTTCAGTACCTGTACTGCATACCATAATGTCCAAATAGAGAGTTCCAGTGTGTGTGTGTGTGTGTGTGTGTGTGAGAGAGAGAGAGAGAGAGAGAGAGAGAGAGCAAGAGATAGAGAAAGAAGGAAAATGGCTATCATAGAGGCAGTGACTGCTTGGGGGAGTGGGGTGGGAGGGAAACTGGGGACATTGGTGGTGGGAAATGTACATGGGTAAAAGGAAGGCTGAAGGAACATTGCATGACTGAAACTTGATCATTATCAACTTTGTAACTGCGTATATCACAGTGATTCACTGAAAATAAATACATTCATAAATAAATAAAGACTATTTTCCAGGGTTAGGGAGAGAGCTCTACTGCTATTCTGGAGGAGCCCTGGGAGGGATACCTCACACCTAGCCAGCTCAGGGGTGTTGGGATAGCACACCTCCCCAATCCATACCACTGAATGTGGCTCCCCCAACCCACCCACCAAAGAAAATAGAGCAAAACACTGAAGCTTCCCAAACCAAAAACTTTATCCCCTCTTGAAAATTTTTCAGTGTAATATCCGTTTTCTAGGGTTCAACACACATTGGGCAATTTTCTAGATGATAATTTTGCAACAATTTGATTAAATGAGCTTATTACTATCATTACTCTAGCATATTACTATTGTTGCTTCCAAATTTTCATTTAAATAAAATCTCTCTAATTAACTTCTCATACATACTTTCTTTGTTGTCCAAAATTGCCTTTTTTTAAATAACAAAACTCACATTAGCCTGACCTTATCTTTTATTCCTCACTGCCCTTTTTTGTTGGAATAATTCTTCTTTTCTTCCTCAAATTATTTTTCTTTATGTGACAAATCATCATGTAAAAACATTTTATAAGGATAACTTTAGACCAGGGCATTAAGTTATACCAACAGTTTTTTGTTTTGTAAAAATCTAATTCCCCACCAGTATTCAAAGAAAATGGTGTTTTTTTTTATAACAAATTCTCTCCTGTATTGAATGTCTAAACACTGACCATAAATGTTATAAGCCTTCATTGAAGGAAGTTGTGTTTGAGAGGGAATTATTTTTTATTTGTAATCACTAATAATAAAACAATATTTAAAAAATAACTACTATATTTACTGAACAGACTGTGCTCTAAAGACTGACACATATTATTTCCTTGCATTATTTCTCTCAGTGTTCCTGAAAGCTTCTACATATGAGAATATGTGATTTGATTAAGATTATGCAAAGATAAAATGCTAGAGCCAAATTTGAAATCATGAATCCCTCATTTTAAGCACCGGGCTAAATCCAGATTGTGGTAATTTTTCTTTGTTTAAAATCCATGTCAGTCCCATTTTCAAGATATTCTTCAACTTTCTTTCTATCAAAGACACCCACATAAACTATAACAAGCATATAAAACGTTGACAGATGCATTATTTTTTTATACTAAAAGATTATCTCTAATGACCATTATTAGAAGTAAAGAGGAGGTAATACTATGTACTTCCACGAGAAAGCCTATGTTCAGGATCTTGTTTGAGTAGTTTCAGATAATATTTATTAATAGTCTTGCTTATAGGTGTGGTTGCTGCTTGTGGAGACTTAAGTAACTTCACCGAGATCATACAGCTCAGGCACTGAAGCAGTAGTACAGGGGGCAGGGCGATCTTCTTGCATGCTGCAGACGGGGTTCAGTCCCTTGTCCCACCAGGAGTGATTCTTGAGCACATAGCCAGGGGTAAGCTCTGAACACTGACAGGTGTAGCTTCAAAACAAAACCAAGATCACACAGCTCATTGATGGTAAGCCTGAGAATTTATCTTTTAATTCATTCATCACTAGATCATCTGCCTGTCATTATAGGTGACCTGAATCATTTTTCCCCTAAGTTATTTACAAGTGTCCTTAACCTTCCAAATATTCATTCATTGTAGTCAGTGTGATTTTTTTCCATACTTCTGTGGGTAAGTTCCCTCTTTTCATCAGTTTGCCAGATTAGTAAATACCAGTCAGATGATGAATCATGAAGGTAAAAGCTTTTGTTCTCTGCACTTCTGCACAGTGCCCAAGGGTGATGTAGCTGAAGACACAGGTTCCTGGTGAGTAATTGGGGGTTATTTTTGCCTGTAAGTAAACATTGCTTTCTAGTCTTGCTGTTCTTTTGTCTGTTTGTGTGAAGATGTGTTATTTCACTGAACATTGAAAATATTTTTAAAAACATCATGATATTTCATATCTGTATTTACTCTTTGATTATCAAACCCACCTTGCCTGTAAAATTGTTAATTGGTTTTTTCACACTTATTTACTTCATGGCTGTTAGGTCCTGTAACAGAAGTGAAAACTGACATATATGTCACCAGCTTTGGACCCGTTTCTGATGTTGAAATGGTAGGTATGTGAGAAATAATATAATTTGTGAAATTTCAAGAAAACAAACAGAAAATAGGACAATTCATTTTAATTTTGTTGTCAGTTACAAGCTACACAAAGCTAACAAGTGAAAGAACAGCCCAATTAGACCCAAAGGTTTATAAGGAGGAAGATAACTTTGCAAATCGGCTAGCTCGTGTATTTTAGAATTTTCTACTTGGGTGTCTTTCTCAATAAAGAAAAGTATTTTCTTAGTGCTGGTTCCCATATCGCAGTCTCATCTGCAGAAGCCTTTCTTTTTCTTCAGAAAATTACAAGGAGGAGTAAATTAGCAAGTGTAATTAGTTTTGGTATGAAACTATTCTGTGGTCCTAATTGAAGTTAGAATTCTATGATGACCCAGTTTTTCACACGCCTTCCCCCCACCCCCACCCCACACTCTTCCTCCCTCTCCCTTATGCTTAGAGATATTTACACTTAACTAAGAACTGTTTGGGAAGAGTTTATCTACTCATCCATTCCTTCTAGTAATCAATATCTTCAGTTTACAACTCAAAGAAGGTGTTTCCTTTTTTTTTCCCCCAAGGTCCTGTTTTATTTATTTATTTTTGATTTGTTTTTGTTTTTGTTCTTTTTTATCATTTTTTTTTATTAGTGAAACACCATGAGGTATAGTTATAGACTTATAAATATTTGTGCTTGGGTTTCAGTTATACAATGATCAAGTACCCATCCCTCCATCAGTGCCTATCCTCCCCCACCACGGGTCCTAGCATCCCTCCCACCCCCCATCCCCCTGTCCCACCCTGCCGCTGTGGCAGGGCATTCCCCCTTGTTCTCTCTCTCTTCTTTTGGGTCCGTGTTTTGCAAGAGAGGCATTGAGTGGCAATCATGTTTGGTCTATAGACTACTTTTAGCATGTCTCTCCCACCCTGGGAGGGTCTTCACAACACCCTTTATTTGGTGCTCTCTTCTCTATCTGAGCTTCCTTTTCACCTAGCACATGTGGCTGGCCTTCAAGTAATGGAGCAAAATTCCTGGTACTAATCTCGGCCATTCCTGGGTGTTTCCTTTTTACCCCAAGACTCTTAGGCTTATTTTAATAATTTTGTAAAATAAAGTATCGTTCACATAGTTTCTCTTAAAAAGATGCCTTCAAGTTTATGATTAATTGCACAATGCTATTGGCTACTCATTAATTTTGTTACCTAAAGTACAACTGTAATTATCTGCTGCTGGCAGTTTTGTTAAATTATAGGAAATATTCTTGATTGAATAATATATCTGGTAATTTATTTACCTACAAATGTAGAAGAAAATGTAGAAATGTAGAATGGGCTGGAGCAATAGCACAGCGGGTAGGGTGTTTGCCTTACACACGGCCAACCAGGGCTTGATTCTGTCATCCCTCTCGGAGAGCCCAGTAAGCTACTGAGAGTATCCCACCCACACAGCAGAGCCTGGCAAGCTCCCCGTGGTATATTCAATATGCCAAAAACAGTAACAACAAGTCTCACAATGGAGACGTTACTAGTGCCCGCTCAAGCAAATCGATGAACAATGGGAGGACAGTGCTACAGTGCAGTGCTACAAATGTAGAAGATTCAGGTCCATCTGGACATAACATGACTTAATTGCTGAGAATATTTTTGCTCCATTAATTTAAAAAAATTATGTTAAATTTAAATTTATTTGTATTTGTATTAGTATAAGATACATATTTTTTTGCTTTTTGGGTCACACCCGGCGATGCTCAGGGGTTACTCCTGGCTCATGCACTCAGGAATTACTCCTGGCGGTGCTCGGGGGACCATATAGGATGCTGGGAATCGAACCTGGGTCAGCCATGTTGGCTACGTGCAAGGCAAACACCCTACCCGCTGTGCTATCGCTCCAACCCCAGTATAAAACACATTTTTGATAGCATGGAGGGAGAGTGACCTCACATAGTGTAACTAATGGGCCAGGGGCCCACTTTCAGTGTTTCTCAGCCCATTTAGACAGCGGTTCAGTGAGAGGGTTTTAGGATGGCTGAGCTGGAGAGTACCTGGGTACAATACCCAGGACTCTTCTGGGGTATGTCTGAGATACTAAAGGGATCATTTGGTACTGAAGATCTAGCCAGTATCAGTTGAAAGACATGTGTCTTAACCCTTGTACTATCTATCTCCCAGGCCCTGAGGTAGATTTTTAAAAAAATTAATGAGTATGAGGCACATAAGAATTCATGGGCCAGAGAATACAATTGATATTCTTGGATCAGAGAGGAGATCAGGTAAGTTGCTTGCCTTGTGTGCAGCCATTCAGACAGGATCTGATCCCCAGTAGTGCATATAGTCTACCCTAATCCTGCCTGGAGTGATTCGTGAGTGTAAAGTCAGGAGTGAGCCTTAAACACAGCCAGGTGTAGCACCAAAACAACAGTAACCACAGCAAAAGAATTCATTGCAGTTTCTTCTGTCTATTTACACATAGTCATCTGTGGATTTGACCATGCACAAACTAATTTCCCTAGGAATATACAATGGATGTGTTCTTCAGACAGACATGGATTGACAAAAGACTAAAATATGATGGCCCCATTGAAATATTGAGATTAAACAATATGATGGTTACAAAAGTATGGACTCCAGACACTTTCTTTAGGAATGGAAAGAAATCTGTTTCTCATAATATGACAGCTCCAAATAAACTTTTCCGAATTATGAGGAATGGTACCATTTTGTACACAATGAGGTAATAATTTTTCTTGTTTTCTTCTTTCTTCATTTCTCCCTTCCTTTCTTTTTTTTCTTTACTTCCTCCACTTCCTCTTTCCTTTCATCTTATTATCAGTAATCTCAAATTACTTTTTAAAAAAGTTGGTTTTGCTTAATTGATATTTTCCCTCATAGACTCACCATAAGTGCGGAGTGCCCCATGAGATTGGTGGATTTTCCCATGGATGGACATGCTTGCCCTTTGAAATTTGGGAGTTGTAAGTTATAGTAAAAACTCTTAGGATCTATGTTATTTATGTTAATCCAAGTTGATAGTTACATATGCCTGTAATTTTACATAATTCAACGTTTTAAATCAATGTCAATGATATTAACTGTCCAGGGTTTTAATTTTTAGGAAACTTTATTAATAAACAAATAAAAATGGTTTCTTCCCCTCACACAAAAACTTATTTCTACATATATCCTAAACAAAATTAATGTTTTGGTAGTGAGTGGTGAAATTTAGGGACCTCTGAACTCATGGGTTGGTAGTGTAACATAAAAAGTACAAATGACCTTTTTTTGTTTGTTTACAATTTAGAAGTTTCTATTACAAGTGTAGTCTGTCATGGAAATTTTTAAAAGGTTGAAAGAGGGGTCGATACTTCTTGACACAATAGAAAGTAGCCTGACATAATCAGTCGTATTGTTATCAAAATGGCTAATGAATGAATAAAGCAAAGCAGGTTAGATGTGGTTTATTATGTAGAAAAAACCAGACAATACAGTTTTTATAAACAAGATGAAGGAGTTTGAGTTCTATTCTAAGTTCTAAGAGAAGTCTTTGAAAAGTTAGTCCATTGGGTGTGGTATTCTTTGATTGATACTTCATAATTTTACTTCAACTTTCCCATGGATAATCAATTGTCAAGAAATTAGAGTACCTGTGAAGGAGTTGAAGACTACAGTTTAGTATTTTCAAAGATTAGCCTAAGCTAATACTAATGGAAAAGACATGAACAAAAGATAAAGGTATGCAGTCTGTAGAGGTAAAGGCAAGGGAATGAAAAGACTAAGTAGGAAAGAAATGCCTTATCTTCTAGTTTTGTTCCCAAAGATGATAGCAAATGCCATCCCTTCCTGTAATGTCTGCCTCAAGTATTCAGTTCAATAAAAATCTAGCAAAAGTAGATGCTGAAGTTTACTACTGCTTCAGATTCTTAGTTGCACTGATTGTGAAACTATTGCCTATTGCTATCATTGTTCATTGCTAAACTTTATGAGAATTGTCAGTCACCATTCTATTTTATAAACCTTAGTAATCATTATATTCAGTGCTAACTTGAAGCTAGAGTGAGTCATTTGCTCCCTGACAAGTGACATAATGAAAGAAGATAAAAACAGAAAAAATATAGATGAACTTAAAGAATGATCTTACTGGGGACAGAATTTAAATTAATTTGTATTGCAATAATCTAAATCTAATTCAAAATAGTTCTTATTAATATTAAGTTCCCTCTCATTTTTCTTATAGATAGCATCCCTCAGAGTAACTGGAACATTGTTGATATTCAATCAAGTTTTACATTAAGAAATTATAATTTGCTTCTTAGAAACTGATGTTTTAAAGATGGGAATTAAAAAGAGATATACATTCTACCCAGAAAAAAAAGTATCCTTAGGTCTCTGGAAAGAGAAAAATTCCATTTAACTATGTTTTCAACTCATAAAAATGAGAAATATCAGGAAAGAAAAGGTTATTTTAACAGAGTCAATAGCCAAGATCATGGTAACCTCTTTTAAAATATTGTGGGAAGGACCATAGTATTTGAGGTCTTTATTGTATAACTAAGCATAGATGCTCTTTAGGTGATAATACTGATACTAGTACTAACAAATAATAGCCCAAACTTTATGATTGTTTTTACAGGGTTACATACAAATATCACCTCCTGATGTATCAAGTCTTTTTGTAGAATTAAACAGTCCAACTGAGGACCTATTGTGCATTGGCCATTTGAAGGTTGTACAGTGTAGCACAAACTTCATTTTGGATCTGTTGAACTTATTTATTTTTGAGACATACAAGCAGCTGCTCTTCATTTAAGTTGAATACAAGAAACAAACAAACAATGAAAACAAAAACAAACAAAAAACAGAAGACAGAGTTAAATAAAAATAGAGGATTTTGAAGATGGAAGAGAAAAATGCCCTTATAAATAGATTAGAAATCGTAGCAAAACTAGAGAGCTTTTTTTATTTGTTTGTTTTTCAGCTCTTTGGGTCACACCCAGCGATTCTCAGGCATTACTCCTGGCTCTGCACTCAGGAATTACTCCTGGCAGTGCTCAGAGGACCATCTGGGATGCCGAGGGTTGAACCTGGGTTGGCTGTGCGCAAGGCAGATGCCTTCACTGCTGTACTGTCACTCCAGCCCCCAGAGAGTTTTACAGAAGTGTGATCAATGGTCTTTACAAAATGATTTCTAAGCATCATGGGAGTTATCCAGTGGCAGATTTGGGAATAGGTGACTCCTGGAGATACCTTGCAGCCATATAAATTGTTTTTGTTTTTGCTGCTGTATTGTTTTCGGAAGCATCTGGTATCTTTCTAATTGGCAGAGCTGCATTAGGATGGAAGAAGTCAATATTGGTCAAGTATTGGAACAGAAAGAAGTGGCAGTCTGAGAGTACTTTGGGAGGATTTGTCATTTCTGATTTACAATTTCTTGTCCTTCTTGGATGGAAACATCCAAGTTCATTGATGCACACACAACATTTTTTCTTACTTCTAATTTTTCTTCTAATACTTTGGCATAAAAATGAGAATTATGTCTGATTGCAAGACTTTTAATCTCTGTCGTTTTTTAAATTTTAAATGTGTTTGATTAGACAGAATGGTAATGGTTTTGACTTCTTTCAAACTTTGTGAAACCTTTGTATTATCCTTAAATGTTAACCACCAAAGTTGTTGAAAAGGGAGCTTTGACTCTAAGCATATTCTGTGCTCTCATTCAGATGCATATCCGAAGAGTGAGATGATTTATACTTGGACAAAGGGTCCTGAGAAATCAGTAGAAGTTCCAAAAGAGTCTTCCAGCTTAGTCCAATATGACTTGATTGGACAAACGGTATCAAGTGAAACTATCAAATCCATTACTGGTGAGATGTTTAACAAAGTTTATATAGTACTTGACTTGTCACTTGTCACTTGTCACTTGTTATCCCTTTGTTCATCAATTTGCTCAAGCAGGTGCCAGTAATATCTCCATTCGTCCCTGTTGCGTGCTAATGTAGCCCAATGGCATCTGCTCGCTCCAGGAACATGAAGAGCATCATACCATTCATTCAGGGTCTTAACGAAGAAGTCAGACCATCTCGTAGGTGGGCAGCCAGGTGTTCTTTTGACACCCCATGGAATCCAGTCGATAACAACTCTAGTCCAGAGGTTATCTCCAAATTGCATTACGTGTCTGGCTTAGCAACAACATTTTGTTTTAGCAACAGAATTTACTTGGCTTAGCAACAGAATTTTGTCCTAGCTTTTTTCATTGGAATCTAGTGTTTTCATGTGACTCAAAACATTTTCAGAAATATAGTGAATACATGTCTCAGTTTAGAATTTGTTTAGATTTAGTTTAGTTCTATTTATACTTATAACATTATATGTATATTGCTCCTCATTTCTCATTTTAAATAAATTCTGAGCTGGTGAAATGACAATGTTGAATTTTTAACATTCTATTAATATTATTTTAAAATTTGGGGCACTATTGGCAATGTTCATGGCTTACTCCTGGCCCTGTACTCAAGAATTACTCCTTGTGGGGATCAAGTGAACGTATGGGATGCCCAGGATCCAATGTGGGTTGGCCACATGGAAGGCAAGCACCCTAACTGCTATATTATCACTCCACCCCTTACTTTTCAATTTTAGAAACAGGAGACTGGCCAGAGTGATAGTACAGTGGGTAGTGCATTTGCCTTGCATGCAGCCAAGCCAGGTTCAATCCCTGATATCCCATATGGTCCCCAGAGCACTTCCAGAAGTAATTCCTGGGTGCAGAGTCAGGAGTAATCCCTGAGCATCATTGGGTTTGGCCCTAAAAGCCAGGAAAAAAAAGAGAAAAAGAGAGAAAGAGAGAGAGAGAAAGACAGAAAGAGAGAGAGAGAGAGAGAGAGAGAGAGAGAGAGAGAGAAGGGAGGGAGGGAGGGAAGGCGGGAGGGAAGGGGGAGGGAAGGAAGGAAGGAAGGAAGGAAGGAAGGAAGGAAGGGAGGGAGGGAGGGAAGGAAGGAAGGAAGGAAGGAAGGAAGGAAGGAAGGAAGGAAGGAAGGAAGGAAACGATATTCATGCAGTACTTAAAAAATCTGTTTAGCTGTTTTCGACAAACTCCAAGGAAGAATGTCTGGAACTAAGTTTTGAACTCCACATATCCCCATTGTTAGGTTTTCTCAAATTCTTTTTATCCTGCTTAGTTTTTGTGGTGGTTCCTTCACCCTCTCTTTTAAAATGTAAAAGCGAAATATAAAGTTTAAGTGTAAAATACAATCATTATTTATATTAAAACTATCACATTGATGGATGATTATTATTGAAATTTGAGATTGGCATGTATTGTGGGTATGTGAATGTAAAGAATCATGGGATTTACTTGTTATATTTTACAGAAAAATTAGAAGACTATTAGTGGTTCTAAAACTATTCTATACATGCAGACTCCGCCAGGAAAAAAAATTGGCATTTTTCATATTTTAGGCAGCCAGTGCAATTAAAAATGTAACTGGGAGGATTTTAGGTTTCTGAATCTTGAGCTGTACAGTCTGACAATAAGACAGTTATTCCCAATTTTTTAATAGTTTCTCCCAATGTTACACTGCAATTTTTATTAACAATATCCAGAAATCTCATAGTTGTGTTACCTATTTGTCTTTTAAAAATTATTTTTGTGTAGATAGCAACAAAACTTTACTCAACTTAAGGATATAATTATATGATACATGTATCTCCTTTTATTTTCTCACATATATAGCAGTTATTTCCTAAAACTAAGGCAATCTCTCCTCTTACATATGTGCACTTGTTTATTTTGATTCTTTATAAAATTAAGCTTTGTAGTTTTATACTTATGTGTTTTTTATACACACGTGTGTGAATATATATGTACATATATATTACTTTAGTTTCAGTTGAACAACACATTGAGGTTGGTATGTATATATACATCTATGTTCAAGTAAATATATATACAAATATATGCGTGGGTATATTTACCTATCTTCTACTGACTTTTGGGCTGGAGCAATAGCACAGTTTGCTTTACACGTGACCGACCGGGGTTTGATTCCTCCATCCCTCTTGGAGAGCCTGGCAAACTACCGAGAGTATCTTACCTGCAATGCAGAGCCTGGCAAACTCCCTGTGGCGTATTCGATACGCCCAAAACAGTAACAACAAGTTTCACAATGGAGATGTTACTGGTGCCCACTGGAGCAAATCGATGAACAATGGGAGGACAGTGAATTTTATTATAGTTTGGTCAGAATGTTGCTTTTAAAAATGCTAAAAGCAAAAACTAGTTGCTTTCTCACTGTTGGCTCTTTTAAACAGAAACAATAAGACTTTTTTTTTAAAGTTACAGCTTTATCTATTAAATTGCTTACTCACTGCATAAAACATAAGTATTTTTTTCTTTATAGCAATGTTCACCATTATATCCCTCCTAGTTAGGACCCATATATAATTCATTGCTTAGGTAGCTATGCAAAACAGATAATTTCTTTGCCGACAGCATTGTTTGTTAGTCTGAAATATTATCATGAAGCTACTGGATAACTACGTACAGATTCAGTAACACATATTTCTTGTTTTATTTGTAGGTGAATATATTGTCATGACAGTTTACTTTCACCTCAGACGGAAGATGGGTTATTTCATGATTCAGACGTACATCCCTTGCATTATGACAGTGATTCTTTCTCAAGTTTCATTCTGGATAAATAAGGAATCAGTTCCAGCTAGAACTGTGTTTGGTAATTGCAATTCATTTCTCAAGTGTTTTGGTTCACAATGCATTTTAATCATGTCATGGAATCAGACTTTATATATTATTTCTAATAAATTATTTAACAATAGTAATAATGTACTGAGTAAAGAATCACTTAACTTTTTTTTTAACTAACCATAATAAGAGGAAATGTGGGAAGTCCATTAACTCCTTCCTGTATTCCTCAGATTTCCCTTATTGAAATCAGCAAGGTGATGTACAAGTGTGACTCTGGATATAATTAAGTTTTTAGTGATATTCTGTGCTTCTAGATTAATCCTGTACAATTGAATTCAAATTATATTGAGTTGTTAAAAGGAGATGTAGTGGGAGTTTAAAATAAAACAAATAAATGCTGTGGTTGAGTGAATGTGAAAGTTTTAGAGTAATCTATCTTTTAATGAAGAGAAACCAAATGCAAATGATTTAAATTCATTGAATTGGAAGGTATTATATGCTTGTTTTATTAGATGATTGTCTTAATCCTGTCACCAAGCATTTTTGTATGCAAAATACTATTCATATTTTATAATATATTCTAAGTAGCTTTAATTTTATGACAGTTAATGTCTTATATAAAGTCATTAATTTAATTTGACATCTTTATTGTTTTCCACTTATTGTGCATAGCAAAAGCATTAAGTAGAGGATAAGGAAGAAAATAATAGCAATTGTTTATTTCTTATTATTGGTTTGATTGATTGATAAGTTTTATATACACTGTTGATTACAAACTTGTAGACGCTGCCTTGTTTCACTTATCCACAAGTAACTGAAGTTTCCAGTGTTGTGGAGAGAACTAACAAAATTATACCTCCATCCAACAACATTTCCTTTTATATGAAACACTTTGAGGAGATTTGATAACAATTTTTAAGATATTTGGTATTTGGTATTTAATAATGATGGTAAGATTTTTCATATACTGATAGCAGTATCTCACTTAATCCCAGTAAGTTAGCCATCATTAATTTTTATGTATAAGAAAAGTGATTCAAGATATTAAAAATATAAATTTATTTTTGGACTATGGGGGCAAAGTCCAGCTGTGATTAGGTATTACACCTGGCTCAGAGTTCAGGGATCATACTGGCTAGGCTCATGAACAGTATGTGGTACTATGGATCAAACCCAGGACAGGCATGTGCAAAGCAAGTGTCTCATTTGCTGTATTATTTTTCTGACCCTCAAGTTTCCTTGAATGGAAATATTTTATTGCTTTTCATGCCTGAACAGTATTCCCATATGCAGTGTGTATGAGATCAGTTTCATGTGTGTTTTCCCATTAATCGATAGCTACCATATCTTGACTATTATAAATAAAACTGCAACAAATGTGTGTACATAATATATTTTGAGTTTAGTGTATTTTTTCCTCAGGATAACAACCAGAATAAAACTATGTTTGATAACTCAGTAGTTGTATTTTTTTACATTTTTAATTTTTTTCTAGAAACCTAAGGTTTATTTGAAAATATTTTAGAATTTAAGCAATATTTTATATTTCTTTTTCTTTTCTAAAATTTTCATAATTTAATTTTAATTGAATCACAGTGGTGTACACATTTACAAAGTTGTTCATGATTGGATTTCAGTCATACAATATTTCCATCCCTTCAGCAGCACTTTTTTTCCACCACTAATGGTCCCATTTTCCCTCCCCCTCCAACCCCCACCTCCCTACCCCTGGTCCACTGCCTGCTGCTATGGTGGGTACTTTTCTTCTCTCTCTCTCTCTCTCTCTCTCTCTCTCTCTCTCTCTCTCTCATAGTTCTATTTTTAAATATTTGATTTGCCATACTGTTTTCTTTAGTGGCCGTCAATTGTGCATTCCCATGATCAGTGCACAAGTATTCCCCTTTCTCTGCATCATTGACAACACATCTCAGTTCTTGTATTTTTGTTAATATACATTATAACAGGTTTTTAATTTCATTTCCTCATGATACTGATGTTGAGCTGTCCTCCCATTGTTCATCAATTTGCTCGAGCAGGCCTAGTAGCTTGCCAGGCATTGCCATGCAGTCGAGATATTCTCGGTGGCTTGCCAGGCTCTCCGAGAGGGGTGAAGAAATCCAACCCAGCTCGGCTGGGCTGGCTGCGCACAAGGCAAACGCCCTACCACTGTGCTATCGCTCCAGTCATGTTGTTGAGCATTTTTTCTTGTATCTATTGGCCATCTGTTGTGTTCTTTGGGAAAATGCCTCTTTAAAAATTCTGCCCACTTTTTTTTATGATTTAGACATTAATATCCTTATCAGGTAAATGATTTGAAACTATTTTATCCAATATAATAGGGTTTTTTTTGCATTAGAATTATTTTTTATTAAAACTTATTTTCGTAGCTGTGCAGAAGCATCAGAAGTCTGATGTTGTCCCTGCTTGTTTTTTTTTTCCCCCTTTTATTGTCTTTGTTTTGGAGTTTGAGTTTAAAATGGTAATCATAAAAATCACACCAGAATGGTTTTTAATAATTATCACTTCTAGAATTTTAGTATTTCTAGAATTTTACTTCTCTGTTTTTAATTCATTTGACCTAAATGTTTTAGTGCCATAATATAGTGTCCAGTTTTATCGTGGCACAGCCTTTTTTACCCAAACCACCACTGAAGATATTGTCCTTTCACCATTATGTATTCCTGACTTATTTGTCATAAATTAGTTGACCGTTTATCTGTGGATGTAGTCTGCGTTCTCTATTTTTCCCTTGATTTTTTTAGGCCTGGTTTTATGCAACATCATACTATTGTTGGTCACTGTAGTTTGGTAATATAGTTTGAACTTCAGGAACACGATGCCTCCAATTTTGTCTTCTTTCCCAAATTGCTGTGAATGCTCAGTCTTTAGTTCCACACAAAATTTAAGATTCTTAGCTACATTTCTGTGACAAATAACACTAAGATTTTGATGGAATTGCATTGACTATATTGGCTACATTAGGTGAGCATGGCTTTTAACAATGAGTCTTTAATTCTATGAACATAGATATCTTCCAATTCATTTGTGAATTCTTTGATTTCTTTCATTGTTGAATTTTCAATAAGAATGCACAGGTCTTTTACTATTTTTACTTCCTTGAATTATTCATAGTCATTTTTTACTTTTATATGAAATGATAAAACGCTGGAATTATTTCTTTAATCTTTTTGATAGTTTATTATTATTCTCTTGGATAGAACAAAGTACACCTGATTTCTGTATAATGATTTTGTATCTTGGAACTCTAATGAATCCATAGATTAGTTCTAACAGGTTTTTATAAAGACTGTCTTTTTGAGTTTTATCTATGAGGCTTTCTACAAATATTGACATATTGACAGTTTTGTCCTTTTTTTTATTTACATGATCTTTTTGTTTGTCAGTTTTTGTGTGTTTTCTTTCCCCTTAACTGCTCTGAATGGACTTTAACAGTAGTGATGAATTCTGACATCTATTTCTTGCTCTTAATTTTAAGGAGAAAGTTTTCAGCTTTTCACATTTGCTTCTCATAAAAGGTATTTATTATCTTTAGATATATTCCATGGGATATGTGGAGTACCATATATGCTGCTTGGAATTGAACTAGGGTCAGCTATATGAAAGGCAAGAACCTTAACCCTATATTATCTCTTTGGCTCAAAACTTTAAAACATAATAATAAATGAATACTTAGTTTTTTTCAAATGTATTTTTGCATCATTTATAATTAATTTATGAGCTTTAACTTTTATTTTGTTAATGTTCTGTATTGCATTGAATCTCAGACTTTCAGTCATTTTTGAATCCTTCAAGTAAATTTCACATTATCATGGTCTATGAGCATTTTAATGAATGTATTTGCTAGTTTTTTTTTTTTTATTTTGCATCTACACAACACAGACATTTGCTTTGTAATGTTTTTCTTATGCTATCTTAGGCTTTGGTATAAGAAATACATAAGAAATAGAAGTGTTTCCCTCTCTTAAATTTCTTGGAAGAGTTTGAAAAGGATGTAAATTTTTTAAAAAAATTTATTGCTAGAATGTAACTTTGGAGCTGTTATTGTTAGGCAAAATTTGATCTTCTTACTAGGGAATTGTCTTCTCAGACACTTTAGTTCTTTACGATTCAGTCTTGGTACATTGCATCTTTTTAGGAATGTATCCTTACCAAAGTCATATATTTATAATTGATGTACCAAGAAAATTTCTTCCAGACTTTGAGAACTTTTCTACTTCTATTGTGCTTTTATATCTTCATAGAAGATATGGAGTTGTGGGGCTTAAGGAGAATTCATAAATTGCTAAGTTAATGTTTATGGATATATGTTGAAGATACTTTAACAATAGTTTTCCCTTTGAAATATGACATTTGTTTCTGTTTTGTGATCTCAAACTAGGGTATTATTTTGACTTAACAGAAAATCCTAATTATTGGGCCCAGTAATTAAGATTTCAAAGGCTAAAGATGTGTTTTAAAAATTAAATAGATGCTCATTGAAGCTTTTTGGATGGTACTTTCCTAAACAAGTTTTAAGTGTTCTCTGGGCATTGGCATTCAATTTAAATGAGATTTAGTAAAGTAAAATAATAATAATTTTGTGCTGATATTTTATTTCCAAATTCTCATTTTCCTCTTCATTCAGGAGAGAATTTGCTGGGCTAGGGATGTCATTAGAGACCTAAAAAATTAAAACAAAGCAGTAAAAGCATAGGAAATGAATTAATAAATTATCTCCAAATACCTTCTATCTTCAAAGTCATATGCCTCTAAGTTCTCTTAATTATTGCAGCACAGTAAAACATTAAACATGAGCGAAGGCCAGCTGGCATATCCATATCACTACTAGGTCATTTTCTAGGTGTGACCAGCCAAATATTTACTCTCGAATACAATCCTAACCTACTCTTACGCATTCTCCAGTTTGCTAGCCAGCCAAAATGTTACATATTCAGTATTCTAAAAGCAAGTGCTGGCTTCAATACTTAAATGTTATTTAGGGCAGATACAGTTTTCTTAGATGCAGAGGGTACCTGAGTTGTTATGTGAATTATATTTCTGTTTTATCTTATGAGTATTTATATAATCATCTGTTCCATCTAAAACTAGGTGTAATAACTAGTTACATCTAGGAACTAAGCACTCTACCCACTATACTATCGCTCTGGTCCTGTAAATAGAAGTTTTAAACTGAGAGTGGAAACAGAAATTTTGCAGGTTGGAAAAAAAGGCTTTCCTAAGTATAATATAATTCAGAAGTCTGTTGATGAAAGACAAAGGCCTCTAGTCTCACTGCAACTATTTCCTTACCATAAAATGATGGAAAGCCCTCTCGGAGAGCCCGGCAAGCTGCCGAGAGTATCTCGCCCGCACGGCAAAGCCTGGCAAGCTCCCCGTGACGTATTCGATATGCCAAAGACAGTAACAACAAGTCTCACGATGAAGACGTTACTGGGTCCGCTCAAGCAAATCGATGAACAACAGGAGGACCATGACCATGAAGATATAGGTTAGGTAATATGGTTACACTAGTGTTAATGTTTTCGGCTTTGATGTACACATAATATTTGTCTTGTTTTTGATTACGCCAAGCTGTGTTCAGGCTTTATCTCCAGCTCTGTGCTCAGGGATCACTCCTGGTAGTGCAGGGAGACCATAAGGGATACTGGGAATCAAACCTTGGTCAATCTCCCTCCCCGCCCCCTCCCCCATGCAATGCAAGTGCTTTAGCAGTTATCCTATCTCCCTGGCCTACACTGTATACATTTTTTAAGGCAGATTGTTCTAGAAATTTATACTTTTCAAAAACTTTACTGTTTTAGATAAATTTTCTATTATTTTAATCCAATGGATTATATTTTACTAAACAAAAAAGCTGTAATTTGTGGGGATTTCTTCTGGTAGTGATTCTTGCTAGTGAAGGGCCTTGTCTCTCTCATAAATTCTGTGGTTTCAATGTTCAGTGCTACTACTTTCCACTCCTAATTCAGATTTAGTACTTCAGTGTGTTATACTACCTATAAGAGGTGTGTGTGTGTGGGGGGAGGGGTGATATTTCTCACTAATGTTGATTCTGATACCAGTACTGACCCAATATATTCTAGATGCTTTACTTATTTTTCATCTCTATAGGAACCCTGTAGGTGGATAACAAATGAAGCCCAGTATCGTTTTCCAAGCCAGGATTTGAAGCATATTTGTATCAATTAAAGGCCTGTGCCATTTTCACTGCTAGGATTTGAATTTTCATCAAAGACTTGGTTTGATTTATTATAATTTTTTTAACTTCACCTTTCTGTATTCTCAATTTCTAGGTCTATTTATTGTTTGCTTTACATAGAAATAATGACAAGCATTTTGTTTCTTTGCTCTTCTGCTTTTAAGGGATAACTACGGTCCTCACCATGACCACTCTGAGCATCAGTGCACGACATTCTTTGCCCAAAGTGTCCTATGCCACTGCCATGGATTGGTTCATAGCTGTGTGCTTTGCTTTTGTATTTTCGGCCCTTATTGAGTTTGCTGCTGTCAACTATTTCACCAACATTCAAATGGAAAAAGCCAAAAAGAAGGCATCGAAACCTCTCCAGGAAATCCCAGACGTTCCAGCGACGAGAGAAAAGCATCCTGAAGCAATACTGCAGGTATTTGGCTTAATCTTTTTCAATTTAAGATTTCACCTCCCTGGTTCTATTTAGACTGCCAGGGATAAAATGAAGAGATTGAGAGTTCCAGGGTCAAGGTTTGAGTCATTAAAAAATCCGAAAAAAGAAAAGAATGGTTATGAATTTAAACTTAGAAACTTTGGTGAATGGCTTAAAAATTTAACCTTTCAGGATGAGCTGAATGATGTGGCACTGACATTCATAAGAGTTCGTTCCACAATTGAAATTTTTGAAAGCCAGGAGTAAAACCCTATACATGTAAGAGGAAAACGGATGTATCTTTGAATGGGTTTTTGCAAAGACATTTTAATAGACTTCATCAAATAAAACAGTGATTCTTACCATGTCCTCATTCTAGATCTACTCCACATGACTATGTAGGCTCTGCTTCCTCTGAGGAAAGGGCAGAACAAATATAATAAATAAGAAGGTCCTTCATTGTTGTTGATGTGCATCTAAGATTAAAATGTGTTGCTCCAGAGGCAGGAGGTGGGGGATGGGGTGGGGATGATGTGAGGGATACTGGGAACATTGGTGGTGGAAAATGGGCACTGGTGGAGGGATGGGTACCCGATCACTGTATGACTGAAACGTAAGCACCAAAGTTTGTAAGTCTGTAACTGTACCTCACGGTGATTCATTAAAAAATTTTAAAAGTGAAGTGTTGCTCCAAAGGAACATTTATAGAAGGATATAAAATATCTAATGGGAATTACTGTAGTTTATAGTGGGCTTTTTCTGCAGATTAAAAGAATAATGACTTCCCTGCACAACACGGTTATACAAAAATAGCAAAATTTCCACGAAAATAAATATCAGTCAAATAGATCCCCTCTACCTCTTTCTCCATTGATTTTTTTCCTTTTTCCTTCTCACTCTTATTCTATTGAATGTTTTTTTAAAATTATTTTTCATTATTAGATCAGTTACCGGGACCCACACAGCGGGTATGGCGTCTGCCTTGCACATGGCCAACATGGCCGACCCGAGTTCGATTCCTCTGCCCCTCTCGGAGAGCTTGGCAAGCTACCGAGAGTATTCGATATGCCAGACACAGTAACAACAAAGTCTCCAATGGAGACGTTACTGGGCCCGCTCGAGCAAATCGATGATCAACGGGAGGGCCTTTACTTTACTTACTTTATTAGATCAGTTTTGCCTAAAGCATTCTCATTTCTTCCCTTTAATACTACCATTTGTTTTGGTGATCTTTCAAATTCTAAGAAATATACAAAAATTATCATTATTGTTATGAGATAACCTCTCTGTGCTTCAACATTTTTTGTTTTACACATTATTGTATTTTGTATATGAGTCTTTATATATATCATAGTCAACATGTGAGGACTCAACATTGTTTTGTTCCTATTTCCATCTGTGCGCTTTATCATAAAACAAACTTTCTGCTTTGTGCCTTAGAACATCTTTGCCTTTGAATACTATTTGGTCTGATTTTAATATTTTATATTCCTTAAAATATTACTTTTGAGTTATGTTTTAGTATTAAATTTCTCATATACTTTGAAATTATAAATATTTTTATCATTTACAATTAGCTTTAAGTTTTATATTTTAACATTTTTAATTTTTATTAGTTAATAGGGTCATATTCAGCAGTGTGTTTTGGAGAGGGTACCCAGAACCTATCTGAGAATTGTTAGGAAAGGGGACATGTGGGGCCAAAGATCAAATTCGTGTATCATACATTCAAACTTGGTCTTTGTTTTACCACTTGAGTCACCTCCCTGACACCTAATTTAAGTTTCAAAGAAACATATGTCAGTTCATGATTTTGTAACAATGTTGAAATTACAATTCTTTCTTGTAATTGTTGACTGCTCTAACTCCAGTATTGTTCAATACTAAAACCAGTATGATGGTTTTAGAGACATGTATATGTGTCTTATGCACTATATTACCTACACTATGATAACATAATATCTAATAATCTAACAATAATCTAATAATAATAATCTAATGGGCTGGAGCGATAGCTCAGCGGGTAGGGCATTCACCTTGCACGCAGCCAACATGGCCAACCCGAGTTCGATTCCTGCGCCCCTCTCAGAGAGCCCGGCAAGCTACCGATAGTATCTTGACTGCAAGGCAAAGCCTGGCAAGCTCCCCGTGACGTATTTGATATGCCAAACACAGTAACAACAAAGTCTCATGATGGAGACTTTACTGGGCCTGCTTGAGCAAATCGATGAACAATGGGGTGACAGTGACAGTGACAATAATCTAAGAATTTAATCTACATCTACATAATTCATATTAAACATGAACATAGAATCCATGTCAAATTAGTTAATACATTGCTCACATTTTTGCAAAGTGATTTCTTACATTGTTGTTACAATGCACTATCATAAATTCTTAAACACACTTAATCAGAATAAAACCTTTTTGGTTTGCTTTTGGGCCACACTGATGGTGATCAGGATTTACTCCTGGTTCTGTACTCAGAGATCACTCCTGGCTATGCATAGAGAGTCACATGTGGTGCCAGCGATTGAATCTGGGTTGGTTGCACACAAGACAACCGTCCTACCATCCTAAGCAGAATGAAACTATTCTGCATAAATCAGAAGTTGGAAAGAGCCTATAATCTTTTCTTTGCGCCTTGAAATACGTATCTTAACTACTAGGATTGCAATAGCTGATAAATGCTTGGCTGAACACATCCGACTGGTTAAGCCCACTCTGACTCAGTAACTCCTCTTTGGCAACATAGGCCTCATGCTGTGTGTAGAGTCCTAGCTGTTAAGGGTCCTAAAAGATACTGAAATAAATCTAATCAGAATATGTATCAGATACTTTGTATTCTTTGCAATGTGCAGCTGCATATGTGTGACAGCCTGGATTTCCACAACAGTTTACTTGAATGAATTCTGAGTTCTAAAGACAGTGATTAATGGCTGCCTTATCTATCCTCCTGATTCCTGACCCTGCCAGAGCACAGCTGGCTCTGGAATGTAAGTTGTTATTGAAAGGCTTCAGTATCAAGTTCATCTTTAGAGACTAGGGGAATCTTAAAGGTACAAAAGAGAGAAGATAGACAAATAAAAAGAAATTAAGGAAAATTAGTATATTAAGAGTAAACTTTTAAAAATACTGGAAAGAAATATGCTAAGCATCATACAAGATTTAGAGTTTTCATAAGGAGTCTAATAAGACAGCTGAAATTTGCTTATTTTAATATGTGTTCCCATGTGCATGGCCTTTTACTTATTTGAAGGACGCCACTTTTGTTTAAAATGTATTTCACCCTCTCATTTGGAATTGCTTTCAGAATCTACATGACATTTGGTAACTCAGTAATCCTTTGGGTAAATTCACTAGTGGTTTGATTTGTTACAACCATATGTGATCAATGACTGTTAGTGTTCTGACAGAGGCTTATGGTGACCATTTCTATTCTTTGGGAATTGGAAAGCTTATGGTTTATGGAATATTAATGAATTGAGGAGAAAAGGTCAATTGGCAGAATCTAAGACTAGCTATGAAAAGCTTGAGTATGTCCTTGGGCATTTTAGAGGCCAGCAACTCTTTCAGCTTTATGTTACTGATTCTTAGCATGTTTCCTTTATATTTCTGATATTAAAGTGGAGTTCCATTTCTTGTGATTATACCCTTCCATGGACTTACAAATTATGTTATTATTATAATCTTAGGGGTACATCCTACTGTACAGCATGAGGGTTGAAAGAACTTGTGACCACTTTCTTGGGATGCGCTAGTTGGGGTAAATGGTCCGAGAAATTGAAACCAGGCCTTGCACATATGATGCAATGCTTTACCCACTTGATTTATTACCAGAGCCTTGCCAGTAAGATTTTTATTTTTGTTTTGGGGTCATACCTGTGGGTGCTCAGGAATTACCCCTGGCTAAGTGCTCAGGAGCACTCCTGTCAGGTCTTAGGAGACATATGGAGTTCCAGGGATCAAACCAGGATGGGCTGCATCCAAGGCAAGTGCCCTACACACTGAACTATCACTGCATCCCTCTCCCCATTACTATTTCTTAGGATACCTATTCTCACATGGATGAATGTGATTTGGATCAATATATTTGAAAAATAAACAGATACGAAATAATAGAGAAGCTTCAGAATAATAACTTTTGTAGGGATTCACTAAAGCAGTGTTCAGGGGACCTATGCTCTCCTTTCCACTGTGATTCCTGGCCAGTTGAGTTCAATTGATCTCAGTTGACCAATGGGTCAATGCATGAACCTGAGGGTTTGGTGCTGCTCAGTCCCTGCAGTGCCAGAGATTACCTGGGCCACCTCAACAGTGGTGCTTAGTGGCCTCCAGGGATTGAGACCAGGTCAGGCATACACTCAAATTGCTATAATATTTCTGGACTCTTAATAAAACAGGTTTACACATGTTACTTTGTCCCAAGCTTGCAATATATTTTATACATTACTTAGTTCCAAGTTTGCAGTAAGCCACATTACAGATTGAGAAACCAAGAATTACTTTTATGTGTTTTATTAAAGATAAAAAACAGCTTAAAAATATGAACTCAGTGTTTCAATTAATTCATTTGTGTTTAAGGGTAAAGCTTAATGTTTAAACTAAATTGTATAGTATTTAATTTATTATATACCTATAAAGAATAAATGTTTGCAGATAGATATGTCATATCACATATCATATACTCAGTCCCAAATAGTGTTTTGGTTTATACTTCTCTGAGTAAATAACCATTGAAAAATCTTCTGAATGCTAGGTCTAGAGAGATAGTATCGCAGATTGTGCACTTTCCTTGAATGAAGCTGATCTGCTTTTATCTCCATCATTTCTTATGGTCCCCCAAGTACTTCCAGGAGTAATATCGAGTGCAGATCCAGGAATAACTCCTGAGTATTGCTTGGTGTGGCCCTAAAATCAAAAAGGAAGAAAGAAAAGAAAAAAGGAAGAAAAAAAGGAAGGAAGGAAGAAAATCTTTTGAAAGCTTTTAATATTGTCAG